ACTGCCACCTGCTCCTCAAGCAGGAGTCGTGAGTCCAGGAGGACCCCCAGATTACGCATTGGGCCCATCCGAGGCAGTGCAACCCCGTCCAAAACCAAAGATGGTAAATCCTTGGATACAGAGGAGCCTCCAATCCATAGCCACTCCATCTTACCTAGGTTCAGTTGAAGCCGGCTGCACCCCATCCAGACCCCCACAGCCTCCAGGCACTACAAAAGGTCACGGCATCACTCACCTCACCCGGGATGGAGATGTATAACTGGGTATCATCAACATATTGATGAGGTATACCTCATCCCATGGTGATGGATGATCTCACCCAGTGGTTTCATGTAGATGTTAAAAAGGAGCAAAGATAGTACCGAACCCTGGGGCACCTCACAAAGGAGGGGCCATGAGCTGGACCTCTCACCCCCAATCAACACTGATTGGGATCGACCTTGGAGGAAGAAAGAGAACCAGTGCAAAACTGTGCTGCCCACTCCCAACTCCCCAAGTCGACCCAAAAGGATACCATGGTTGACGGTACTGAAAGTGGTGAGAGGTCAAGAAGAACAAGGATGGATACACTACCCCCATCCCACTCCCACAATAAATCATCCATGAGTGCGACCAATGCCATTTCATCCCATATCCGGGCTTGAAACCTGACTGAAAAGGGTCCAGATAATCCGTTTCCTCCAGGATCCTCTGGAGCTGCAACGCCACCACCTTCTCAACTACCTTCCCTAAAAAGGGGAGATGGGAGACCGGATGAAAATTGTCCAGTATGGTGGAATCCAGTGATGGCTTCTTGAGGAGGGGGTGCACCAGTGCCTCCTTAAAGGCAGCTGGAAACACCCCCTCTCTCAAGGATGAATTCACCATTGCCTGGACCCACCCACATGTCACCAGCCGGGAAGCTTTAACTAGCCAGGAGGGACATGGATCTAATTGACAGGTGGTGGCTTTGACCATCTGGAGGAGCCTGTCCACTTCCTTAGGTTCAGCAGGATCAAACTGTTCCCAGATAACAGGGTAAGAATGTATCCTGGGCATCTCTATAGAACATGCCTCACACTTGGTATCCAACTGGAACTGGATCCAAGCAATTTTAACCTCCACATGCCTAGAAAACTCCTCTGCATGGCCCTGTAAGTGGGCTACTGAGCCCTCCTTTCCCAAAAGAGATCAGGTTATCTTGAACAGGGCCACCGGGTGACATTCTGTGGATGCAATAAGAGCAGGGAAATATTGACATTTCACTGCTCTTACTGCCACAAGGTAGGCCTTAATAGCGGCTCTAGCTTGTGTTCGGTCAGGTTTGGTCCTTGTTTTCCTCCAGCGGCGCTCTAGACGTCTTTTAACCCTTTTCAAAACCTTCAACTCCTCTGTAAACCATGGGGAATGTCAGGTTCGATGGGTCAAGAGAGGTCACACAGGCTTTGAAGCTGTTATTTGCATTTTGGGGAAGCACCATAAGAGACAATCCCACCATAGTCCAGAAAAAGTGGACACAGTGCCCACAAGAACTGGTATACCTGCCCAGTGTGATAATCTCACCTGAGTGGCAATGCCCCCTACAGTCCTCAGAAGCTGTAAGAAAAAGACCCCCCTTGTCACCAAAGTACAGTCCCAACCCAAAAAAATTGCCTGGCCCTGTAGCATAAGCACTGTATTTCTAAAGCCTGGGTGGTCAAAAGAGACAAACGGAAAATGAAAAAGAGGAACAACAACAACAACGAAAAGAACAAGCAATATTATTTCTGAGAAGACAAGCATTCTTGAAAGAACTGCTACATAGGAACAGGAATAAAAGAATAACATTTTCCTAGAAGTTGGAGGGCAGCTATGCAGTATGAAGTTACCTGCCTGCACATGTGAAATGAGAACCAATGAAAATCAGTCCCTTGAAGCTGTTATTTTCATTAAGAAGAAATCCTGCCTTGACATACGGGAGAACCCTTCTCATGCCAATGGCAGTTTCAGGTGAACGGCTGCAAAGGGTTAAACTTCCATACCCCAGCTGCAACACCAATCATTATCAGCTCCATGCGAGTAGCTGATATTTATATTTTTTTAAAAATGTAGATATAAAATACAAAAATGCATCCAACAACTTGCCTAGCTTGATTCTGTTCTGTAGTCTTTCCTTTTTTTTTCAGAGGTCAGCTCTTACCTACACAGTCATCTGTTTCCTGCAAATGCTGGAAGCCAGTCTGACACAAGCACCTGTAAGATCCTTCTGTATTGAGGCACTGGCCATTCAAACACCGGGACTGATCGGCGCATTCATCCACATCTGCCGAATGTCACACAACATAAGGGCACAGAATAAGAAGCCAGACTTTAATGTGAAATAGTGTTGAAGTGGGACAGTAGAAAGCTAAGGACAGAAATAGGCAGGGAGGAATTCCTCTGGAGCTGATTCAAATGAATTCATCTGAGCCTAATTTGGAATGGACTAAATTACAGTAACTAATTTGAATTCAGGCCTTCTGATTCAACACCACAGCCTTTCCCTAAATTTGTCTCTGCAAATGGAAACAGGGTGTGAAAGTCTTATAGCGGTGGAGTAAGTCCATAATTGTGAATCTTATACTCTATCCTCATTCCCGCCAGTAGCTTATATGGTCTTCGTAGCATCATTCAGCCATTTTTTGAAGTGAGTCAAACCCATCCTCATTACTGTTATTTTGACACAACAAGGACTGGATGAGTCTAGAAGATGCTATAGGTGGCTACTAGGGAAATGATTTACATTAAGTTAATAAGTGGGAATTACATTTCCTGTATTTTAGTATCTGAAGCTTAGCTTGTCTGTGACAGAATCTAAATCTAAACTGGGAAGCTTCCAGAGTTTATAAGCCCTGTCTACCAACATGGTGCCTTACTTTAGTAATTTTTGGAAATGGGAACCTACACAAGCAAGGGCAGAGAGTAGGGTTGTGCAGTGACCTGGATTTGAAGGAGAAAAAGTCATTCAGAGTATGTGTGGATACACATATCATATTTTTCAGCACCTCCTTAAATCAAACACATCTTTTCCTTAGCTCACGGTGTGAGTCCCAGAAAAGTCATAGTGACATGCACTCTGATGTGCATGCTGAATCACCTTTTCCTCCTAAAATGCTGGATTGCTGCACAGTGTTAACAGAAAATATAGGCCTGGTGATGTTGAGTGGGAATGCATCTTTGAAGGACCTGGGACCAGCTTGGAAAGAACATAGGGAAAAGGGGGAAACCATCCTTGATTTTTTGCGGGGGGGGGGGGCAAAAAAACCAAGAGAACAGAGAGATAGACAAAATGTAATTGTAGCTTCTAAGATCTTACCTTGGCAGCTGACTCCACCAGCAGCATTTGAGAAGCCAAGAGCACAAATGCAGAAATAAGATCCATGGCTGTTCAGGCATTCGCCATTGGGGCTGCAGATGCCACTATCCAGACACTCATTCTGGTCTATAGGAGGTAAAAATAGTTATAGGGAATTCATTCTGAAAAGCTGCTACTGATTATTCTTACTTAACGTCCATCAGCTCCTTAACACAGCCTTAAGTTGAGCAAAATATCTTTCTATCCAAACCAAGACCGTCTTCCTTATGGATCTTATGCTACTCACATCTAAAATATCTGGATAGGACATTAAATAATAGGAGGGAAATTGACATTGGAAAGTTTGGAAATACCTTTCTGAGAGTCTCTTCCAAAAATCTATTGTTGGAAAGATCTGTACATACATACATACATACATGCAAATCTTGAAGTCCATCACACATTCACTTAAAATTAAGAAACAGGTCCTCAGCCACAGAATTTATTTCAATATGAAAAATTGAACTTGCAGTCTTTTCCTGACAAAATCCATACCTGTTTCCTCCCTGTGCTTTCTAATTCTGGCAGCCTAACTTAAGTGGGCAGGGGGAATCCATATTATTATTGATGCTGATGTGTAACAGAACTTCTTACCAATCTAGTTCAACACACCGAGACACCTACTAAGAAATCCTGGGTGTACCTTCTGCCCACTCCTATTTTATACATGTTATCTGGGTCCCCAAAATTATGGGAGACTTTCTTATTCAATCAGATGGCTTCAATCTGCAGACCAGGGAGTGTGATAGTCACTATCAGATATATGCCACTCTTTTATTCTATTACACTGAAATATGAGAAGATAAGAAACACAAATATATCAGTCATACATTGTTTATACTATATATCTATAAAGGACAAGTTATCAATAATAATAGGTTACAAAAGCACAGAATTAAGAAGAACATAGAATAAAGACAGTACCCAAACCACAAGGTCACAAGAAGAAGCCAAATATTTACATAAGGAATTGGAAAGAAGAAGTAAGAAGGGGAAGCAGAAGATAATGTTGAATTCCAACTCCTCTATGTCAAAAGCATGTGAAAATAACTGGAATAATCCAGAGCCAACTGTTTAATTCACCTTGCTCTACTTGATACTCTCCAGATGTGAAACTCCAGCTCCCATACTGGGAGAGAATTCTGAAAATTGAAATCTCAACACATTTAGAGGACAACATTTTGGGAAAGGTTGGTTTAAAATATATAGGCGGGCACAAGTGTCTATTTAGACAATATTCAATATATTTGAAGCACATGTGATACAAATACAAGAGCACTTAGAAGGTGCTACTGTGCACTCCCCAACTACAAGATAGATTCTCCTCTTCTTTATTGGACAGACATGTTTTTTTTCCCTAGACACTAATGAGGCTAGATTGAACAAAGGCCATGTGAAACTCCCAAAACAAGTCTGCCTTTTTTTCCTCTTTGTTTACACTATTTCTGAAAATGTGGCTAAATTGATGAAGAATGGGCAAATTCATCCAGATGGGTAGCATAGGGCATACCTTCACATGTGGTCCCATTGACGAGTTCAAATCCCAGCTGACAATGACATGTGTAGGATCCTGGTGTGTTTACACACTCTCCTCCTAAGCAGTAAGTATTTGGGTATTCACATTCATTACTGTCTGTTCAAGGAAAGGAAGGAATGATCAATGGAAAGGAACAGCAGTTAAGGAAGAAAAATGTCATATAGGCACAAGCTTAATTTTTTTGTTTTTATTTTAAATGAAAGAAGAAAGCTAACCTACAGAGTATCAACGCTCAAGCTATTAACAGGGGAAAATTACGCATTCTGCTGTCCAGCTCATATTAAAAGCATACTGCAAATGCTTAAGAATATAACAGAGTACATTCTGTCCCTAAAGAAGTGCCGTCTATGCACCTTTCTTTGGTGTATATTTTAATGAGCTTTGGTCATCTTAAAACATATTGAACAAGGATCAGAGCACATACACACATCCCCATGACTATTCACTGCATTATATATTTACTCATGCTATCGCCAAGTTCTTCTAGCTCAAACAAAGAAAGGCAGTCAGCCTGAAAGGAGAATGCCATATTCTCCTGTAGGACACTCCAGGGTCCAAAGGTATTCATGCCTAATAATCTTACAGTACATATCTTTTATCCTGTAGTCTCTATTTCAGTTACAGAAACAGATCATGATATTATTAGCTAACAACAAAACAGAGTAGCATTCCTTAAATTTCCCCAAAGAATCTGATTTATACACAGAGACTTTTCCCACTATGTGTGCATCAGCCTATTCATAAATTAATATAAAGGACTTTTTTCTTTCCTCTTTAAGGGCACTTCATATACTGAAAAGAGGCAAGCCAGCTTGTGCCATTGCATAAATACCAACAAGTAGTTGCAATCATTCTCAGTTACCTAACAAGCATTCCAATGATATACAGTACACCAAATGTGCCAACAATATGTGGTTGCTCGGACTATTCTTTACATGCTTACTTAAAAATAGCTTAGCTATACATTTAAAATGTACTATATATAACACAGCTCTAAGAAACAGGGATGGTCTGTCAAAAACATTGCTAATATGCTTCATTTCCCATTTGTGCCCATTGTTAAGTAAACTGACTTAAATAACATATTTGTATAAAGTGACATGAATGTATACTAGCTTCATCTAGTACATAACAGATGCATGTTTTTGTGGTCATTCTTTCTTTCTGGTTTACTTGAGTTGTTTTAAGTATTAGGTGTTCCGAGTCTGCCACCAGACACACCCAATGTGGTAACTGTAAGGAAATACTTAAAACTAAAGTACCAGCTAGAATGCTAAACATTAACTTTATTGTCACTCTTAATTAGGAATGTAGCAATAGTCTCCTTTTGAATCCAACACCATCTATTGACTATACAGTTTTATACAATGAAGCACCTGCCAGTTTTTTCTCTCGGATGGAAATTCTTGGATAATGTATGCATTTGTAACACGTTTATCTCACTTCCACCTTAAAATGTCTGAGTGTATGACTATTTTTTTAAAGCATACACCTAAAAATATAATGTGTGAAGTAATCTCTAGTAAAATTACAATTTATGCAGTATTCTCTTCATGATAATACAACTCCATGATTATACAGCTGCGCTGTTTGCAAACACTCCAGAGAAAACAAATGTTTAAATAGGAATCTTGTTTATGCTTACTTAGAAGTTCCAAATATTTTATGGTTTCAGACCATTTGAAAAAATATATGTATTTTTCTTGTAAATGTGTACATTTCTAGTTTTGAACAATTGAATTCTCTATATTTTTATGAAACAACATCATTCAGATTATACAAAATGAGTGTGATTTTTTTAACTGCATAGTTTTCAGATTTATACTTGACATTTTTACATGTGTAAGACATGTCTGATTTATCAGAGAACAATTCTAAAATAGGAAACATATAAAAAAAACAAAATGTATTATCGAAAAAGGATATAGGCAATTATTTTATATAATAATCAATTTCCATAGTCCATTATTTCTCATTTTAGCTATATACAGAGAAATATCAGTTGTATATGTGGTACCAATAGAAGAGAATATATGTAGCTCAGGGTTGAACTGTGGAGACCTTGGAGTTCTCTGAGCTTGGTTGTTTTCTTGCAAACGTTTTGTTACCCGGCTAGGTAACATCTTCAGTGAACAACTTCTGGTTGTTTTCTTGCAAACGTTTTGTTACCCGGCTAGGTAACATCTTCAGTGAACAACTTCTGGTTGTTTTCTTGCAAACGTTTTGTTACCCGGCTAGGTAACATCTTCAGTGAACAACTTCTGGTTGTTTTCTTGCAAACGTTTTGTTACCCGGCTAGGTAACATCTTCAGTGAACAACTTCAGTGCGCTTCAGTGCATTCTTTCTTTCTGGTTTACTTGAGTTGTTTTAAGTATTAGGTGTTCCAAGTCTGCCACCAGGCACACCCAATGTGGTAACTGGAAGGAAATACTTAAGATGCACTGAAGATGTTACCTAGCCAGGTAACGAAACGTTTGCAAGAAAACAGCCAAGCTCAGAGAACCCCAAGGACTCCATATTGTATATGGGGCACTCTTAACTGGGAAACTGCTGGAATTCCTGTTGAGAAAAGACTCCTCTTTAGAGTCCACATTTTTCTATTCTTACCTTTCCAAATCTAGTTCTTCAAAGCAGCAAGCAACAATAAAAAGCAATTAACCTTTGTTACTTTTCTTATTTCTAGCAAACTGATTTTAACTTATCCCTTTATGATTGTAAAATTTAGCTGCTTTTTAGCTGGTTTTCTGAGCAACTTTCTCAATTTATTTCACACTTTCTTTGTTATACTTTTTATTTTATAGTGGCATATTTACTTTACTGGCATCACAACCTAATTATTCTCTCATGGAAAATCTGTGGGAGGTTTTGATACTAAAAATCCAATCCAGCATTTCTTAAACTCTCTGTTGTCATGGTCCACTAAATGTTTAGAAAATGTGGGAACCAACCAATTAAACAAACTTCCCCTCATCTTTAACAGCATGGGAGTTCACATTTTTCACTGAATAAGATGATGATGATATTTGCATTTGTGTGTGCGTTCACAACCTTTCCATTTTTAAAGGCCTTTTTAAATTAAACTCTATACCAAAAAATGGATGAAAAATTAATCATTTTAGAGAATTATTGGATGACCACTAGATGGCAGCAATGAGATGCAGCAAACTCTAGTTTTTGCTGCCACCTACAGATCTGGTATCCCTTACCGTGTTCCCCACTTCAATTTGGGTCCTCTAATTTATAACTTTAAAAACAAAAGCAGATGATCTTACTTAATCACACTGAATAAGCATGCCTTGTTTCTTTCATTCTCCTGACCCATTTTCTTTTTCTTCTCCAAACTAATCCAATTTAATATAATGAATGTTATCTGCAAAGCTGCAACCAATTCATTAATGAATACATTAATCTCTGTCAAATATTTCCAATCCCAATATCCTCAAACATTTCATAATAGCCTGCCAGAGCTGTGAGCCTGGGAAAAACAAGGATCAATATTCTACAAAATGCTTTCCCAGGTGATGAATCTGGGAAGGGAAATCAATCCAGGTCATAATCTCTACTTCTTCTGCTATTATATACATACAGGCCTAATGTAGGCCAAGTATTTCAGTCATTCAGCCATGCAGAATAAAGTCAATATTATTACCTTCACAAGACTGTCTGTTAGATGAGAGAACATAGCCTGTTTCACAAGCTTGGCAAATGAAGGAGCCTGGTGTATTAGTGCAGATTCCCTGTGGGCAGGCCATGTGTGAATTACATTCATCAATATCTAGAAAAAGAACGGAGTCTCACTGACATGGGATAAGGAACAAGAAAAGGCTCAGGAAGTGTCCTTATCATACACTGATCTCTCACCATAGTTCAAGAAAACAATTCTGACATTACTCTCTCAAAAGGCGCTTTTAGAAGCTCATTTAAATTTCTTCAGATCTTCTGAGTTCACAGAGATTATGTACCAAAATCCCTCCAGTACACAATTCAAAAGGTTATCAGGCAGATGTCTCTAGCATCTCCTCAACAGTATTTAAAAATTATGTGCTACATTCGATTATTTGTCCATATCAAGTGACATTCACTATATCCTGTTTATGTATATGGCAGCCAATCAGTCTTCAAGTTTTCAACTAACTTCAGTCAATAAGTTATTTAGATTATTTGATTTCTTTGGCCACAAAAGTCTATTATTTATTAGAGTCTATACAGTCTTATGGATTAGGCTAATTTAACTTTTTTAGTTCATGAGAAAGTTTTCCTTCTTATCACACACATATATACCTTCACATGTTCTTCCATCCATTGATGCAACATAGCCATTATCACAATCCACACAAGAAAAAGAGCCTTCAGTATTGATGCAGCGCCCTCTGGGACAGATGTTATAGGTTGTACATTCATCAATATCTGTGACAAACAAATAAGAGAAACAGGGAACAGAGTTTAGAGTTGATGACACTGAACTTGGCAGAGCAACAACAGAACATGAAGAGCCCTACATAACTTTCAACAAATTATGCTACAGGCAGAAGGACAATGTGTGTAAAAATTATCAAGAAATAACTATGCTCCAGGTAAGATTATTATTAGAAGCTACATGAAATTATCCAGAAGCACTAATGATATTAGGAACCTCGCATCTGGCACAATGAAGATTGAGAGATTAGAGGTTCAACGCAGAAAGTAAAAAGAGTTGGAAAATGACATATTTTAAACTTCTTCCTAACTACTGATTGGCCTGTTATGAGGTCAATTGGTACTTGTGAACATTTTAACTATGTAGCAGCATAAAATTATGATCATAAAGGGAAAAGGTCTTGCACAGGGACAAGAGGAGCTATGTATTGTTATAAGATACACATGAGGAGAGGGAAAGAGGACTAGAGTTTATATTTTGACTCAAAATAATCAGCAAAACTTTATCTATAATCTTTCATCCTATGATATTCAGATTGGATACTCAACCTTTGCAACAGACCAGCAGTGTTATTGCTACTTAAGTATACTTTGATTTTTTCAGAAACCTACTGGTTATGGTATTTTTGCCTTGCTACTGTTTTGCTTTCTAATTTCTGCTAATTTTTTCAGGTTCTCTCCTGAAAGTTGGTATCCCTTTAAGTTGGTATCATTTGTTTTCCTGCCATTTGTTCATTGACCCATTTATTGTGGACTTGTTATACTATGAATTGCAGCTTACCATCAGTTTCTTGTAATGGTTGGTTGGTGAAGATGTTTTTTTTTTTAATCACTCCTCTATCATTGTGGCTTACTGTCTTACTCTGTTACTTACTTTCAGTTTGTTTTCTTAAGCAGAACCATCACTTTCCTACCAAGTTCATGTTCTGGTCCTCATCCCATGCCAAGTCCTAATTCAGCAAAACTCATTTGTACAGATCCAAATAAACATTTTGCTGCCTTCTGCTTTCTGCCTGTGACTGTATAATGGGAAAAACATCTGCCAACGACTGCACTGAGGCAGGAGTAAGGCAAAAACGGTCACTCTAGGCTCCTTCTTGTGCCCTTCCTTCTGTCATTCCCAAGCTGAATAATTTTTTTTAAAAAGGTTTTTAAATAAGCAAAAAAACACCAGCTTCTAGATTCCTCTTTTTTCCGATTGGGGGGGGGGATAATTTGGTCCAGTCATCCACTTACCTTGTGGTAAAACAGCAGGGGCCATGGAATTAAATCACTCACTTTATTGGTGGCTAAGCAATCTAGCACTTCAGGCAATTCTCAAAGACAACCTGCACAGTGATGCTGTTTCCAGCTTTCTGGGGAAACCTCAGAATGGAGTAGACAAGATTGACTAGGAGGTAGAGGGAGGACCATTCTCATATCAGTCAGAATGACCAATAAATGCCACTGTGATCCCATCCACCATTGGACAACTTGACTTTGGTTCTGATGTAATGGGTGGTGATGCTTAACAGATTTTAAACACCTTGAGGATAAGGTGTCAGCCTAATGAAGGGGAGAAACACTACCTTTTTTTCATCTTATGTCTAAATAAGACATAAGATGTCTTATGTCTTATGTCACCCCCAGTTTCAACCTGAAAAGGTTCTTAACTTCAACAAAATAAGCAAAAATGCTTAATGACGTGATGGCAGAGGAAGACCGTTTGAAGCATTTCAGCCTTGCAGCGATTAAACAAGTACCTGCAAAGTATAAAACCTGCATTTGTTGATTTTTGACAGACTCATGGTGGTTAATGGTGGTTCACATAGCAACCTTTTGTTTTAGGAAAGGAGTTGGAGATAGGACACTGTGGATATTTGCTAAGTGATATATTCCTACCAGTTTAGCTTCCAAAGAAAATAAACAGTGTCCAATACTAGCTCCTCCTCAATATTTGCAACTAAGTTCATCTAATCTTTCTAATCTACCCACCATTTGGGGTAAAGATAACATGAGATCTCAAATTATATAAATTAGCTTTGAGGTCTGTAGAAATGGCTGTGACACAGAGATAATGCAATTGTGATCTTAGCCCAGATTTCTACAAACAGCACCATTATTATTATTACTATTATTATTACTATTATTATTACTATTATTATTATTTATTATTATTATTATTATTTATGCAATTTCTATAGCCGCCCATCTCAATCCAAGGGATTCTGGGCCACGAACAATTTCAATAATTAAAACCATGAAAACCATTACAAATTATACATATAGGCAGGCGACAGTTATCATAAAAATTACACAAAAATCAACAGTGCAACCAGGTAACAGGGTTCTTAACACTTTCGGGACCCCAGGCTTGGGCACATGGCCAGGTCTTTAAAGCCTTATGAAAGGCTAGCAGGGCCGGGGCCATCCTGAGCTCCAAAGGAAGAAGGTTCCAAAGGGCGGGGCTGCTGCTGACAAGGCCCGCCTTCTGGTCCCTGTTAGCCGACATTCTTTGGCTGACAGGATCTGCAGCATCCCCAATCTGCTAGACTGAATTGGACAGGTAGACAACTAACCACGAACAATCCATGATTAGATCTGCTGAATTTTGCAAGGAAATTAGGAGAAAAATGCTTGACGTAGTTAGAGTAAATTAGTGCATGCAGCATGCATGAAAGAAGAGTAGATTTGTTTTGTTAGATAGAAGAAATGATATGGCCTAGTACTGAAAAACTGAACTATAAGCCACTTCATATCAATTTTTAATTTGTATCTTACTTCTGACTCAAACTCTTTAATACAAAGGGGATTATATCTCAGTGAAAAAGCATATGCTTTGCCCTCAGGAGGTCCCACAGCCAGCCTCCACATCTTTAATTTGAAAAAAAAAACCCAAATGATGGGAAAGATCTCTGTCCGATGTCTAGGAGAGTCTTGCCTGCTGGAATCAATAAGCAAAGCTGAACTAGACAGACACTTTCTATACGGCAGTTTGCTATATTACAAGCCAGCATTTCTCAACCTTAGCTGTTCTTTGGAACAGGCAAAATATTAAAACAAAAGTGTGGGAAGCACTTTGAATATGCTACATTTCTAAAAATCAAGCATGATTCATTGCCCTCTGGATACATTTTCAGAGATACATGATTTAGACTAATACAGGTTGAAAGGGGGAAAACAGAATGTAAAAACAGCACTATTTTGTATTTTCCTTCTTTCCCAGAAGAGGGCAATCTTTGTTCAGCATATTCCCTATCACCATTACTTCACACGTCCTATTTATCTGTAGCCAGATGAAAGTTAAATCTGAATGAACATAATAAAAATGACACAAAGCATCCTTAAAAATGGGCATGTTCTTTGTTAAAGATGCAGATAGTATTATAAAGCTGAGGTGAATCTGTGAGGAAGGAATTTATACTTGCCAAGTACTTTAACAAGGATGATCAAACTACTTGGCAAGAAAGATCAAAATTAGCTAGGAAAGGAGAACAGTTCAGAAAGCAGATGTCTTTGGCATACTCACCTTCACACTGTCCTTTGCGATTCAGGATGTAGCCTATTTTGCACTCACAGTAATATGAGCCAGGTATGTTGATACACTGCCCTCCATGGCACACATCTGGCTGGTCACACTCATTTAGATCTGTTAATTCACAGCAACATACTCTTCAGGAAAAGTGATCAGTCCAAACTACTAAGACAACCATGGCCAAGTGCTTGGAAAGTTCACTTCCCTTTGCTCCTTATATTATCCTCCTAATACAGTATGTTTAAACTGAAATGACCAGGCTCAAATGATCATACTTTGGACACATTAGGCAAAGACCTAGCTCTCTGGACAAGTCTATAATACTGGGAAAAGTGGAAGGAAAGAGAAGAAGAGGACAACCAGGAGAAGCTAAATGGACTCAGTTACAGTGATAATGATGCACCATTGGAAGACCTGAAGGACCAGGTTGGGGACAAATTGTCATGGAGAAAATCTATTTATGTTTCCCTAACAGTTGACACAGACTTGATGGCATATAATTATCAATAATCAATATTTGATCTGTCCTAATTCACATATTCCCAATATATAATGCTTCTGCAAAGGTATATAAAAACAAAAGTTTTTACATACACAGCGTACTGTTTGTTTTCTGTTCATTTACTGCCATACTAATGAAAAGTTAGTTATCTTCTATCATTAACAAAAGCACTGGGCAGGAAACTGAACATGATCTAATAATAATGCAGTGTATTAGCTAAACAATAAAATAAAATATGGCAATGAATTCCAGAGCACCAAGTTTTGTGTGTTTCTTTGGATATATGTACTGATGAGATGAAGGGAAGGTTAGCAAATTTTCTTGGCCACAATTTAAAGAAGACAGAAGAATTGACATCTGCAGGCAGGACAGAAGAAAAACAAAACATTTCTCTCTCTCTTTCTCTTTCTCTCTCTCTCTCAATATAAGGTAGGAGAGTAAGAACCTCATTAAGCAAATTGCTGTTATTTTCTGGTCTTCTAGGGGTGGGCATCAGAAGCCAGCATTGCCAGTGTGTGGATCAGTACACATGTAATTTGATTTATGATCTGCATTAGTAGAGCGGTATTCTAGTTCTCAGGGTTTTTAAAGGATTAAAAGAAATCTGCAAACAAATCTACCTCCATTTTCTTGTTCTCAAATTTCTCTAGCATTCAAGCTTTTAAATGCAACTTTCTCTTATGTACATAGGATTTAATATAAACATTTCTTAAGAAACCATCACATAATGAAAATCTCCCCGTTACCTAATTTTTTAAAAGACAAATATTCCTGATGCAATATATTTTTAAAAACAAATGTGCCAAATTTGTATTCAATTTTTTGGAAACATAATTCCTTTTCAGACACATCTGTTACCATTTTTTAATAAATAAATTTCTATTAAAAAAGATAGATCCTAACCGACTGTGCCTGATGCCACTGTCAGGACCGCAGAGGAACATGTTTAGTGGAACTTGCAGATCTATTCCCACAGAAATCTGTGGTGAATTTCTTTTACATTTTTTGGTTGCATAGAAACATTACTCACCCTGACATGTTTGCATGTTTTGTGAAGTGAGAATGCTATACCCAGAAAAACAGATACAAGAATAAGAGCCTTCAGTGTTGACACAGTGACCCTTCCCATCACATGGATTTCTCTCACATTCATCAATATCTGAAACAAGAGAGAACAGTTGAGAACTTTTTGAAACTGGCCTCCCTGTCTATTGGATTCTGTGGTCACCCAGCCGGCCTGGCTACTGCTGTCCCACACAAGTGAAAAGCCGAGTTTGTACAAGGCTGAACTGAAAATCACCCATGAAAATCTTATGCATAGCTTATTAGGTAACATTGTTTACTTCCCAGACTCTCTTTATACAACTGCTGTATTTTAAACAGTTTTTCTTGTATTACTTCCATACTGCCACAGACTATTTCTGCCAGCAAAACTAATTAAATAACTAAAATACCAATGCAATAGGTGTGACTAGGATGCTGTTGATAACCAGGATAACACAAGCAGGTATATCCTTCAGGAAAGTTCACACAAGTGCCTGGACCACAGATATCAGGTGAAGAGGAACATGCATTTATCTCTGAGAAGGAAAAACAAAAATGCTGTCAGGGAACAAATAAAATGTGCATGTGTTCTTGTCCCAAATCCAAGAGAAATGCAGGCATTTTTACCTTAATTAATGAAATTTATTCTCACAAGACACAGCAAAGGCTATAACTTAAAAGGGAATCAGTACTACCCAGTCTAAACATAAAAATGTTATGACCCGAGCTTGCCTGGTCGATTTATATAAAACCCACAGATTTATTGCTGTTTCAATAGCTTTATTTTGGATTATGCCAAATTCACTGGAGAAAATTTGGAGTCAGCCCAGCAATATGTAAGAGCTCAAAAAACACCCACACCTCTCAATAGACTTCAAAAATCCCACCAACCAGCCAGCTCACAAACAAACCAACACAGACAAAAGAGTATTGAGACAGTCTTTGCTATGGGTTCTTTCCAAGAACGTTTTAGTGCAGAGCATAATGGCAGGGGCCGCTCTCCCAGACATTGAGACAAGACTGAAACAACACAGCTGCTGTTATCCAAGCAACAAACACATGTCCGCCTGAGGTCACACATCTTCCCACTTCACCAAAAAAAACTCCATGACTCAACTGTGTGCCCTGGAACAAATGACAAGAGAGACGCCACAGCCTTCCGGCTCTGCCATTGATGTTCTATGGTCGAGAAGAGTTACATTTTCTATACAGCCTTCCCATGTTTGCTTGAAAAAGGCTACTTGTGAGATGTGTAGCACAGAAATGAATATTCTGAACATGATCCTGTCTTGTTAGAGTTATTACAATAGCTGAGTGGTGAATCAGGAAGTTGATGTCTCAAACAGCATCTTGGTCATGAACTTACAATTGTCTTGAGCAAGCCTACTCTTCATCTTAGCAACCTAATCTGCAATATTGGAGTAATGATTCTGGGTTGTTGGAAAGATTGTTGAGATATGGTATATAACCTGCTTGGAATTCTAATATCCTTTTTCTCCCCTCTCTTTCTCAATTATCCTGGGATTTGGCATAAAGATCTATCCATTTCCTTCAGTAAGATGGCATGTAAAGGTAACTATTAGTTTGAAGTGCATTATTTGTGTTATTAACGTATTCAATATACATTAAAAACAATGTACGATTTCATTAGAGGGAAAAAACTACAAAGGCTACAATCAATTTTAATATCACTTGTGAAACTGATATAAAATAAATTGTTAAATTTCTTTTTAGACCAGCATCATGCAATTCTCCTGTATGTGACTGTTTTGTGTGAACCCATTTGAAATGCAGCATCTCTCTTTACTTGCTGCACACTGTAAGTAGATTATGAGAAATAATTTATTAGAATACTGGTCAACGTACATGTGAATACAGTTGCTGTGTCTCTTGAAGCAGCACTTTCATCTACAGCTACTGTAGAAATTGTTTGGCAGGAGAATGGGGGGAAATCTCTGTTATATCCACTACAAAGGATATGAGAAATAGGCAAAAACTATAAACATATTAGACAAATACCAATAATCAATTGGACTCTGTAGTCTTATACATATAATTCAGTCCAACTTACTGCTGAATAAATCATAGAGTTCAAAGATATAGTAAAAGTCATCTAATACAATCAATGCAGCAAATCTACTTCTGCAGTAGTAATATGTGTAGGTGCAACAACCTCATAATGGACCAGCAAGAAATCTTTTTAAAAAGTTTTTTTCCAAATGCTCATAGAAGTGGAGGGGAGAGAACTATTTGTTCTTGGAGACATGAATAGAGTAATAGATCCAGATTTAGACGAATTCTCCCAAGGAAAGAAAGGAAAGCTTCTACAAAAAAAAGTATCTCAATATATGGATGAATTGGCAGTGACAAACACATGGAGACTACAAAATCTAATGCCTCTTCAAGGGCTGATGGCATCAATCGTTCCAGAAATGGGGTGTTGACAACCTCCCAGATCCATCATCCGCCCTCCCCATCCACCAGCTGACCAAAAAGCTGGGATATTTACCTAATATCATTCAGAAAAAGAGAGCATGATAAAAACAATAATTTAGAAACATATACAAATTATACAATATACAATGTTGGACAAGATGTATTGATAAAACTTTGAAATATGCACATGACTTTAGATACAAATGTATATTTTACCCCTTAACAGACCAGCACTGGTATTAATCAAAACCAGTCTCTGTTCATAACTGTTCTATTTTACATATAAAATACAGTCACTCTTCCTAGAGCTTTTATACTTGAGCTTCATGCATATTTGATATTTACTGTTATTCCTTATAACAAACATGTATAGTCAAAATAACAGTACAATCATCCTGCTGCTTGGTGAAGAAAAGCAGGATTTTTACCATCCTCCAGAATATTAACAGGGACATGGCCATCCTTCTCTCATGAGGAAAGCTGTTTCAGAGGAAGGGAGCCATAACCAAAAAGTTTGGACTCCAGGTCCCTTCATGTTAACATTCCCTCAGAGGTGGGAGCCATAACATGCCCTCCCTCATAGATCTCACATGGAGCTGGCACTTACAAAGACATCTAGATCCTAAGCCACATAGGGCTTTAAAGATAACAACCAGAATTGTAAATTGCACTCAGAAGCTTTCTGATAACCAGTGCAGCTCCCATAATAGAGGTGTTACATAGGCAAACTGAGCAGAGACCATGACTACCTGACTGCAGCATTTTGGACCAGCTGCAGCTTCTGAATGGTCTGCAGCAACAGCTCCAAGTAGCATAAACAGCAGTAGTCCACACATGAGGTGACAAGGGTATTCTCATTAAATGACAGTCCACACTGTCATTAAATTCTCTTCCTCCAGGAAAAGCTGCAACTGTCACACAAGTTAAAGCTGGTCAAAGACTCTCCTGGCCAGGACTTCCACCTGCTCTTTCACTAGAAGCCATGAATCCAGAAGAACCCCCAGACTGCAAACCTGTTCTCTATGAGGGAGCACAACCCCTTCCAGATCTAAGGATAGATTTATTTTGGAATCAGAAGGGTTTTGAATCAATAACCAATCCATCTTGCTGGGATTAATCCTTGATAAGCTAATATGTATTTCCTTATTCTATGCTGCTATGCATGTTGGATGCTTATAAGTGTCAAATGTATTGTTACATTACCAATGAAAAATGTAACAAAATTTTTAAAAATAATACTGGTACATGAACCAGTATCATGTAATTCTTACCATTAGATGACATCCTTAAGCTTCATGATGCATATTTAAATTACTGTTGTTCAGTTATCTTTATATGAATAATGTTCGTATAGCATCATTTACTGATACCACCTTCAGAGTAGTCCAGATGGATTTACTTCTGGATAAATATGTATACAATTGTGGTATAAAAAAGCAGTTAAAAAGATGATTCTGTAAAGTTAGTCTCTTACAGAAAAAAATACAGAAGATAAAATATTGTCTATAATCTCCCACCCAGTAGATTCAACATCTGTCCTGCTTTTCCGCCAGCAATAAATATGCAGCAAATTATAGATTGAATTTAGAAGATCTGTTTGATTGTTTTTCCCCTCAGGCATCAAATAATCAACATACTGACAATTACACTTTTTAAAATCTCACTCATCAATACCTAATTCAGCAAATGTACTTTGCAATTTACCTGGATTAGTATCACTTTCTTGGATAGCATCATCTGTATCCTATGAACAAGACATATAAATACAGTGACTGTACACAAACCATATGTAATAGTTAGAGATGCATTCCCACAAATCTAAGAATTTTCTTCTTCAGCAGTTTCCTTTTAAATATATTGCTGGGTAAGCATATTTGGGGACGTGGCCTAATTTTATATGAACCTAAGTCCAGCTTGATATAGAATATAGATATAGATATGGAATGGCACATGGTAAAGTGTGTGTGTGTGTATGCGTGCATATATGAGTGAGTCAGTGAGAAACTGACCTTTACAATTCTACAAACATTTTTCATCAGATCAGTCTACACCAGTGTTTCTCAACCTTGGGAACTTTAAGATGTGTGGACTTCAACTCCCAGAATTCCCCAGCCAGCCCATGGGGAATTC